GAGGGAGGAGGAAGACGCGCAGTGTGGAAAAAGAGGTTCGGGGAGGTCCGGGAGTGGGATAGGGGGGATACGAGGTTCGGGGAGATAAGGGGAAAGAGGGACAGATGGGAGAGGGGATGCGCGGAGTGGGGGGAAGGATGCTCGGGGAGGGAGGGATGGAGACTGGCGGGGAGTCGGGAAAGATGGGCGGGACGAGCGGAAGAGGGTCGGGATGGGGACTGGCGGGTACGAGGTTCGGGGAGGTCTGGGAGGAGGTTCGGGGAGGGAGGGGGAAGACGCGCAATGTGAGGAACGAGGTTCGGGGAGGTCCGGGAGGACGTTCGGGGAGGGAGGGGGAAGGCGCGCAGTGGGAGGAACGAGGTTCGGGGAGATAGGGGGGGAGTGGGAGGCTCAGGGAAATAGGGGGGAAGAGGGAAAGATGGGGGATAGGATATTCGTGGAGATTGATTGATTGATTGTTGATGTTCGGGAAATAGGGGGCACGAAGTGCGAACCAGGTGAGCTCCCTCCCCGCCTTTTTTTTTTTTTTTTTTCACGGACATCTTGTCCCTGCCAACACAGTCCGGACAGTCCGGTGTCCAGTGACATCCGGAACACCGGACAGTCCGGACTGGTCCAGACACAGGTCCGGGGAACAGTCCGTAAGTGTCCAGTGTCCGGGTCCGTGGTTACCATGATAAATTGAAAGCTCGCTTTTGTGTGCAGTGAATTGCAGATCCCAGCGGGGCTGTACACTAACTACTTTCTTATTTTTCTTTGATTGAGGGCTTCGAGGCTTGATCCCTGGACCTATCCCTCAGTGGGACTTATCTCTGTTTGTGTAGCTGTAGGCCCTACCGGTTCGCCTTTTCCCTTTTGCCTGTTTTTCTGTCTAGGTGCAGCCAGTCCGTAGGTCTGTCTGTTCGTAGGGTCCTAGGTCAAGATACTGGCATCTACAAAAGTGTCGAGGTCAATTGGGAACGGGTTCTGTCTCATTCGTATTTTTTCACTTTCGTTTTTGGGCGAGGTCGGGTGGGCAGTTGCAACACTATTTTCCAGTATCGCAGGTCCTCTTCCTCTTCGTGAGGGCTGGCGGCCATATAGCTGGTACAGCCAGCATCGACATCAGTGGTGAGGCACCTCCATGTGGTGTGCTGTTGGGGTTATGACAGAGCTGCCATCGGAACTCTCCGTCGAAGTTTTCTTCACAGCGGCAGCCATCGTCTTCTTCATCAAGTTGGAGTTTCTTCGTCTTCACCCTGGGAGCTGCGCTCCCCTGCTGAGTGGACACATCATCTGCAGCAAGCGATTGTGTGGTGTTGACGGGCTTAGCAGGTTGGGCGCTGTAAGTGGAAGGGGCGCCATAGCTTGAGCTTGAGTGTTTAGGGAGGAAGAAGAAGTCTCCCCTTTTTTTCTCCTTTTTTTCTCCTTTTTTTTTCATTTTTTTTTTCATTTTTTTTTCTTCAAAGAAGAGTTGCAGTTTTTATTATATGAACAACAATGAGGCCGGGAATTCCTCGACATCTCAACCTGCATACTGCTGGAAGCCGCTACCCAGATTACGCTTGAACTGGAAACCGGGTCCAGCGTCCCTTTGTCTGCATCTTCCAAAAAACTCAAAACTAAAAGGGGGAAAAAAAACCTCAAAACTGGACTAAAGAAAAGTCAAAATGATAAACTCCTCCCCCCCACAAAAAAAAAAAAAATGATAAACTGAAAAAATGGGAAAAATGGGGCCAGGACCGTAAGAAAGGTATACCTTTATACCTTTCTTACTGTGAATCTCTACTACTAGATGGTCCCAATAATTTCAATGAAGCTTTGTTTAGATTGCTTCGTACCACGTAGGCGTTGTTACGTGGTTGGGATCCTGGGAATTTCGTGCTTTGTCCCTTCGACGGAGCGAAGAGCAGTAAAAAATTGTTGTAGGCTGCTCACTGTGCTAAGCCCACGGTATTCTTTGGTAAAAGGCGAAAGAATAGTACTCACTGTCTTGCTTATCCACTTACTCTCTCTCTCTCTTTTTTTTTTTTTTGCAGGGTAATTCTTTTATGGTCTGTACCAGTGTTGCACACACTGACTGTCAGCGGCCCTTTACTGGTCGGCACCTGCCGGTCGGGGGGGAAAGAAAAAAAAAAAAATTGGGTCCAGAACCCCTAATAACCCCACCAACACCACTGTGATGTGTGAGAACTCGCGCGCGCGTGCACGCGCTAGAGAGAGAGAGAGAGAGAGAGAGAGAGAGAGAGAGAGAGAGAGAGAGAGAGAGAGAGAGAGAGAGAGAACAAATAGCCCTTTAACATTAATCAGAAAAAACCCTGCGCGTAATCCTAGAGGCCCTTGCAAGTAATTAGCAAGTGGCACTTCTCGAAAACATTGTAGGGCAGGAGCACGCCAACTATATATGGTGTAGATTCGCATTAAGGTCCGTGTTTCAGGAGTTATGGGACCACGGAGCACATGATTATCTGGGTAGTGGCAAGCCAACTCACCATGTGATTTTCAGGGCTTCCCTCCACTACTCACCAAATGTGCAAAACTAGAAGGAATCTTCTGCTAGAACATGGAATCATACTGTGGCATACTGCGTAGCCACACGGGTCTACAGGGCCCGTCCCGGACATTCAGCCTAAAAGCCTAAAACTTAGGGCTTACAGGCCCCGTTCATTTCAGCCTGGATGCTGAAAAACGAGGGCCTGCAGGCCCTACCTCGTTTCAGCCTATTTCTGCGTCTTTTCAGACCCAGAGTTTTCAGCCTGAAACGGAGGGCCATTTTCAGGCCCTCATTGTTTCGACCTGCCCCTAAGACTCAGGCACGGAAACAGGGATGCGGAACAGGCCCAAAATAGCCTGTTCCTCACGTGCTCGAGCAGGAGCTGCAGCTGCAGCCCCTGCGTTCCTTCGGCAGGCTCAAGAGGCACACCCGTAGTACATAGGAGGTTCCCATGCACTTCACGGGGGGCAGTGTCAGTAGGCAGAAGTAGTCTTCAGGATTCGGCCGCAGCACTCAGGAGGAGCGCTGCAGTAGTCTTCAGCGCTAGGCAGTAGTGGTAGCGCTAGCTGTAGTCGTCGGCGCTGGGCGCCATAGCTGTAGCTTAGTCTTCAGCGCTGGGCGCTGGTAGGTAGTAGATCGTAGAGTGGGAGGGAGACTGGCGGAGGCCAGT